TTGAACCTGGCACGTAACTCAGGGATGTGTTGGCATTTATTAATTTGCGAACATACCACGCAGCATATGGGCCATTCATCTTTGATAAAGTGTTTAGGGAGCCGTCTTATTTCAGAGCTTATCTGTAAGGGAAGAAGGTGGTCTCCTGGACCCTTTGACACAAATACTCTGCCAGGTTGTCTGGTATACAGAGATCAGCTTGCTGAGACGGTGCGACTTTCGCCGAAATGACACAACCCTGTTAACGGTGGGCTCTGGTGGCAGAGTGAGGCTGGACTCACTTCTGTGACGTTACCAGCAGTGTGGCCTCTGACAAGCTAATTAACCTACTACTGCCACCACAGCTACCGCCACCGGTTCAACTACCACCGTGAGCACCACGACTGCCATTGTGGGGTGACTCTACAATTCATCTATGAAAATGAGTTTTACTGTGGCTCACAGAGCTGTGAAAAGATGCCTGACTTATTTACCTTTTAAAAAAGGCATTCTGTAAGTGAGACATTACAGCATTTCTTTACATAGTGAGCCTACTATATTTACAATGTAACTCACTTTCCCAAAATTAAATTCACACAAAACATTTGAGGAATATAATTTTTACAAGAACTGAGGCAAATCTGTGTCACAGGGTAGCCCTGCATTTACTTTTGCAGAGTGAATGAAACAGCACGTATCTGGCCATGCACAGATCACAAAGCTGACAGAATCAAAGTGACCTCCTGAGGTTTCAAACTGGATAAGAATGTGGTTTTCACTGCTCTTCAGTCCCATGACCCATTTGAGATCGTTTTTCTTACGCCCAAATAACACAGTGAGTGTTGAGTGAGTCCTTCGGAGTTAGATTATCTCCGTGTTTGTCCGCAAATGCTGCCTCGCCTTCGTTTTTGAAGGTTACTTGTTCTCAATATCAGATCGTAAGTTGAGATTGTTTTTCTATTGGCATTTTAAAGATGTCATTTCATTGTTTTGTTTTTTTTTTGTCTTCTGAGAATCAATTATCAGTCTGATTTAGCTCTTTTGAAGTGAATTTGTCTTTCATTTCCTGACTGCTTTTAAGATTTTTTTTCATCTCTGTTTTTCAGCAATTTAACCACTGGGATGAGAAATTAAAAAAAAAATCTTGGCGTATAATGTGCTTTTCAAATTTGCATTTGGATGCTTTTTGTCTTGATCTTAATGATCATTAATTTCAGAAATTTCTCCTGAATTAAAGAATGGATGCTCCATAGAAGTTTCTTCAACTTAGTGTGACAATATTTTGAAAATCTGGACACATAAAAAATATGGACATAAATGGCCACAGATACTTTGAAAGCCAAAAATAGGTAGCATTGGGCAAAATGTATAGGCTAGTCTTGGTACACATTTCAGTAACTATCAAACTTCTTTCTGACAAATGGGGTTGCTGTGAAACCCAGGCACCTGAAGGGCTTCTGACACAGAAGCTGCCCATTTTCACCGCCTCGGGGAAGTGTGTGCTTCGGGAAGCCAGCCGGTGCTCGCCTCGATTTCATCGCCAGACCACAGTGCTACTTCATCACATGAACATAAACTTAACTCATGGTTAAATAATCAGTTCTCTGGGTTCATCTCTCAGATTTCATGTTCGTTGCCAAGACCTTGAGGTGGGCTGTAAAAATAATCAGTTTTATCCTCAGTGTGGACTAAGAAATTAATCATTGACAAGCATATCTGTTAAATATGCTGTTAACACAAACAATGAATTTATCCTACCCAGATTTTTTCCCCTTTGTTGTTGGTTTTTTTTTCTTGATGAAGAGAAATAAAGATTTAGCCTTGATGTTGAAAGCTGGAAGAAACATATATCCTCAGCTTAGCAGAACAAGGCTGTCAAAATGGCTATTTCATCTCACTTTTTTTCTAAAAGGATGATTATTCAGGCCATAGCTTTTTATTAATTACTATGCCCATCATTTTTTTTCATCTTACTGAATTCGCTGAGAAAGACCAAGGGCAAACTCCTTTAGGTTATCTGTGCTCAGGAAATAACGCAACTTTTGTCGAATGATTCGGAGTTCAAGACAGCCAGGAAATGAGCTTCTTCTGGTCCTGAAGTTGTGCCATAGGTTCAGACTGGCCAGTGCAGAATTTTTCAAGTATATCCTTCAAGAAGGGTACATTACTATGCATCCGATGACTGTGTGGACTAGGGTACTTTTTCAGCTTGGCTGCTTCTTTTTAACTCAGAGCTGATTTGGCTGTATCTAAATTGCAAGGCTTCATTGTGCTAATACATGAACTTCATCTTCTAAGGCAATACTGCAAGCTGACCCTGAGGGAAGCTTCAGGCAAACTTCATTTGCTTATTTGAGGCGCTTTTATTATTATCCCTGTGCAAGATCTTGCTCTGTCTTTTGGTGCAAGACATTCTGATGATTTCTTTTCAAAATTTGCATGATTGGTTTTTAAATGTCCATCAAGGGGTTGCATGCAGTCAAGATACCGAGACTTAGGCTCATTTGTATCTCTAAAATAATAAAAACCGGGTTCCCAATAAGCATGTAAATGGAGGCTAAAATATTTAGTCAGACTGCGCTGGCTGTGGTGTGGCAGGTGCCGCCTGGGCTGAGGAGTGGACAGGTGCCACCCAGGACGGGAAGCAGACAGGTGTCTCGCAGGCTTGGCCATTATTTGTGCTGCGAAAAGATGTCAGGGAGATTTGAATTTCTCTGATTGTGCTTTCTAAAATTCACTGCATTCACACTTACGATTGGAAATTCCTGTTTTTATTTATGTTGACATGTTCCCAGATGGACACGTGGTTGAAAATCTGCACTGGGAGACTGGCTGCTGAGGCAGTGACATGCCAGTGCCCAAGGAGGGCAGAACCCGCTCCGTGGACGGTGGCTCGGCAGGACGCGGTCGCAGTGCTCAGCAAGCTTGAATACACACTTCAGTAGGTGCTGGACACGGGACGAGGATGCCCTAAGGAAAACGCCCAGAGAAAGGGCGAGCCCACGGGCCACTCGCCCGTGAGGACAGGTGAGGATCCTCTCAGGTTTAACTCAGAAATCTGAGAGCTGCACGGAGGCCTTTGGGGCACCCAGTGCGGGAACATGTGCGTTGAGTTCCAAACCCGTGATTCCAGGTCTTTTCGGGGCTCATCCAGAGCCGTTTTTTCTGTTCAACTGCAGTGAGTAAGGAGCAGTCACCGTTTTAAGAAAACATAGAAGAAAGAGCAAAAGGGAACAGGAAATCAAGAAACAGGTTGAATCTGAGTCCAAAGTGATATTTTACCAGAACCACTGCAAAGATTGACCATTTAAACAATGCATGGAATTGCGTGGGCTGTGATGGGAAGCACACCTTTAGGCCCTTGCCAGGGGGAGATGACGGCATGGGAGCAGTGGCTGCTCCTCACTTAGCTGCTGCCTCCTTTGGCTAGTCCTGCCTTGCATCGTTAGCGTCTGTGTGATTAGAAACACGGACACCTGCCCTAAGAAACCATACTGCACGACTGGGCGTGGTGGCTCACACCTGTAATCCCCGCACTTTGGGAGGCCGAGGTGGGTGGATTATGAAGTCAAGAGATTGAGACCATCCTGGCGAACATGGTGAAACCCTGTCTCTACTGAAAATACAAACATTAGCCAGGCGTGGTGGTGCATGCCTGTGGTCCCAGCTACTCGGAAGGCTGAGGCAGGAGAATTGCTTGAACCTGGGAGGAGGAGGTTGCGGTGAGCTGAGATGGAGCCACTGCACTCCGGCCTGGGCGACAGAGAGACACCCTGTCTCAATAAATAAATAAACGAATAAATAAACACACAAACGATAGAGATAATAACTTTGTCACTGGCTTGTGTGAGAGTCGAGCAGCGTAGTCAGGTACTTTGCACAAATTATTTCTTCCAGCTCTCACTCCTGCCCCCATCCCCTGAGGACCTGTTTTGCTCCTGATCTTACAATTCAGAGCAGTTTTAGGATCCTGGGAAGAAATCCTAGGACCAATGACTCTCAGCTGCAACAGGAAACAGCTCTTTTATCTTCCTGTTTTCTCTTCCAGGTGATGTGGTTTAAGCCCTAACCCTGCAAAGTCCGCGGCGTCTCTCTCCTTGCTGGCGTAAGACTTTTCTCTGTTCCCCGATGTCTCTGCCTGATTCTGCACAGAAAGGCCCTCCCGAGAGCGCTCCCACTCAGCAGGGGCTGACTCCAAGGCTGGGTGTTCTGCATGCCCCAGCACAAGGCTGCCAGCGAAGAGGAAACCCTACTCCTTCTGATTGTTCCCGGGAAGCTGCCAAGGTGCCTCAGCGTGAAAGCCTGGGAGTCGCCACAGGTCAGTGTATCCCTCACGAAACCCTCCCGAGACCACTCCCTGCTCTTTCTAGGGCACCTAACAGCTGCCAAGGGACTCTTCATCCTTGTAACTGGCTGCATGCCAGGCAGCCCGGGCAGGCCCCAGGTAACATGGGGACGTGGAGGCTCAAGCAGGCTTGGGACTCTGAGGACATCTGGGCTGTGGGGAGCCTTAGTGCTGAGCTGGCCCAGCACTCGCGGAGTCACCTTGCAGCCTCTGGAGGGTGCAGAGGGCCCTGGGTCCCAAAGATCCGCTCCAGCCACGTGGCCCTGGTGTCCCCCTCTCCCTGCCCCTCCTTGCCCACCTGGCTCTTCCTCAGCATTGCCTCCAGTGGGTGGCCAGGAGGGCAGGTGAGGCCTCTCGGAGGAGCCTAGCACAAGCAATTCTGTTTTGGGGGCTACTTCAGACATTGCTGTGAAAACAGCATCATGACACATTCTGAAAATGGCATTGCGACACAATTGTGAATTCACACCAAGACCTGGGCTATTCCTATATTCAGAGATGCGCTGAAACCTTTTGTCATTTTTCCTTTTTAAAATTGTTGAAATTTGCCCATTAAATCTTAAATTGCCACTAGCCAACATGGATGCAATCTCCTGGGGATGGCACCGCCGGGCACACCTGCGTCTGGCCTGGTGGTGGGAAGGAGCCCGAGGGCCCCCGGGACGGGGGTTCTTACCACTGAGGAGAGGCCGGTTGTGCCGGTAGGGGGTGGGCAGCTGGCCGACGTCCTCCATGCGGTGGCTCATGACGCGTGCCAGGTGGCCCGTGTGGTGCAGGCTGCCCACCACGATGCTCTGCAGGTATACAGGCTCCACGAAGTGGGACAGGAGCGCACCCTGCAGCCCCAGGACGTTCCACCTGTGGGGAGAACCAGTGGTTAGTGGGGCCCACCCTGGAGCCCAGGACAATTCCAGCTGTGGGGAGAGCCAGAGATCAGCGGGGCCCACCTGGAGCCCAGGGAGCTGGGTCCTTTCTGCCCTTCTGCGGCCTGGTCTTGAGGACCTGTCATGCTTCCCATCGTGTGGACCTGGGGGGCCTCGCCGGGGGTGCCCAGACTCAACCCACTGTCACCTGGGATGGGGATCTGAGGGCCCCTGTGCGCTAACAAACACCACTCCCTTTTCTGAAAATAAGTCATTAGGCAGAGTGGAAGCTACTTCTCCCTAGGATGTAGAATTAGATGTGTTGAGAAGGATGCTCTGTCCCGAAAGTGAATTTGAAGTTTTCTTTATATTAGCTGGGAAATACTAGAAATCGAATACTTTCTACTACCTTTGTCCTTAGCAGTCGAAATGACCTATTGTGTTGAAATTAAATGACACGAATAAATGACCTTGCTTTGGTCTGGGGATGATTTGGTTTTGGAAGCCCGGATTGGAGATGAACGACAAGTCCATTTTGTTTGAAATAAATATAGCTCTGGGTGAATGTTTTTGCTTCTTCGAGCAAAAATACTAAGAGCACTGGGATTTTTCCCCTTTAAAGTTGGGTGGCAAGAGGTTCCGTGCATGTGTTATTCAAGGCGACGTTCTGTGGTCTCCACTCTAATGGTCTAATGGTCTCCACCAGTAGCCAGCATTCTGCAGCCAATTTCTTACATCATTGTTCTTTTCATTAATTAACGTTTCTCCACTGTTAGAGCAATTACTGCAGTCCCTGCATGCAGTGCCTTTTTTCATGATTAATAAGGAGTCATACTTCCCTTCCTGAAGCAGTCAATTAACACAGAATTCTTTCCATTAATTACCGATCTACCTGGAGAGTAATCTTCTCGGAGAACCTGTGACACCAATTGCTTTAAAAAGTTCCCTTTAAATTTTATTCCAAAAACACAGGCAATTTAGCCAGCGATATTAATTTGCCTCAGAAGCATCTCTGTGAATGAGAAACATCTTTTAATCTCATGCAAGAAAAGGCAGCCATCTGGCTGGTGGGGATTTGGGGGAGCAGCTCTCCCTCTCTCCCTCCGCAAGTGCAGGTCATTAAAGTAATGTGCTCATCTACATAAAACTCAAATGGAATATAAAAGGTAATATTTATATACAAACAATTTAGTCCTGCAATTTAAACAGTCATTGGTTTTATGAAACATTTACTTCAGTCTATCAGATTTGCATAACTTCATTTAAAAAAATATTGTGGTCATTTCTACTAGTCACGGTGTTTCTCCCAGAAAGCAAGGGAAGGGGCTGGCCTCTGGAAACGTGAGGTTCTCCCTGAGGGACGAGCTTGGGAGCTCTGAAGGGGAGGACGAGATGGAGGCCACAGAGCACCTGCCACTGAGAAGCCTTCATTCCACAGCGTGTCTGCCTGGATCTCCAACGGTGGCTCTTCAGAGTCAATTTTTTCTTTGATGTTCACTGATAAGTCAGAGCATGTCAACAAAACCTGGGAAAGGAGACTTTGTAACTGAGCTTTTCCTTTGGTGTTTTATGTTTTTTGTTTTGTTTTGTTTTTAAATAGAGACATGGTTTTGCTGTATTGCCCAGGTCACTCCTGGGCTCAAGTGATCCTCCTGCCTCAGCCTCCTCAAGTGCTGGGATTACAAGAGTGAGCCACTGCACCCAGTGTTTTCTGGTTTGTTTTTTAGACAGGGTCTCACTCTGTCATCCAGGCTGGAGTATGCTGGTGCAAGTCGTGCAGTCATAGCTCACTGCAGCCTAATTATTTTGTATTTTTCATAGAGGCAGAGTCTTGCTATGTTGCCCAGGCTGGTCTCAAACTCCTGGGCTCAAGCGATCCACCCACCTTGGCCTCCCACAGTGCTGGGATCACAGGCGTGAGTCACCATGTCCAGCCAATGCCAATGTTTTTGAGGAGTGGTTGAGGGATTTGGCTTGTTCCCTTGAATCTGAGACCAGAGGAAAGACCAAAAGCTGGGGGGAAATTCAGCAGCATGGCCTTCCTTGGGGTGTGAGATGCCGGAAAACAAGGCCCCAGAAAGGACCCCGTGTGGGGCCCAGGGCTCCGGTTACGTGGTCCTACTGTGCCTGTTAATTCTCAGACTGTTAGTGCAGTCTTAAAATGTCTTACAAATTAAAGTAGGGAAAGGTATGTTTCCACCATCAGTAACAAAGCACCTTCTTGAAATAAACCATGAGTTAAAAAGTAAAATCAGGATTCCTGGAAGAGACGCCGTGGTGTTAGAGGTAATAGGAGCACCAGCTTTGAACAAAACTTCTGGAACGTACGTGAGTGTCTGTGATGCTGCAGGACACCGGGAAGACAAATAACTTCAATATCAGGTTCCCATCTGATAACCTTTACAGTAAAGAGGAAATCAACCTTCTCCTTGCCTGGCTATCAGAGTTTAAACTTATTCAGCTAACATGATCAATAAAACCAAATGTCTTTCTGAATATGAGCTGGAGAATTTTTAGCATTCAGGATTGAATGGAAAAATACCTCTCCTTTTGTTCAAACAGCTGATATTACCGCACTGTTGACAGAGAAAAAAAATCCCATGTCTAGTTTTCAGTACAGATAATCCCTAACTAAATGTATTTTTGTCTGTGTGTCAATCACTGAAATACCATAAGTGGGGGAAGATCTTGGAAAAAAAGCTGCCGTTCTTTAGCCAGGAGCGGCAACCTGCTCACTCAGCCCAGGCCGCGGTCTCCTGGCCACAGCGGAAGGAAAGATGGGTCTGCGGTGGGCTGCCGTTGCCTCAGGCTGTCCCTGTAGGTGCGCCGGCGTCAGGCAGGGGACAGGGACCGCCCTTGCCTGTTTGGATGCTTTGGTTTTCCGCCGTGATGTGGCCCTCTGAGATGTAACTCTAAAGTTACATGAAGCCTGCAGCGAAGTCCTCGGCCACCACCTGGCATGGCTCTTAGGCCTGCTGCTGGATCGTCTGGGAGCTGTGAGGACCTCCTGAGGCCTGGCTCCCCAAGCGTTCTGGTGTGATTGGGTGGTCAGTGTGGCCGTCAGCTTTCTTGGGGCCACCCATGTGACTCTCATGTGAGCCAGGGTTGGGGACTTCCACAGCAAAGTGGCAGATTCTGGAGCCAACACAGTCAGGTACCATGTAGGTCATGATGCTGGGCAAAGGGGCCTCCCTTGGCCCGTCTCTTGCTCTCTTATCAACTCTCTTCTCAGTGGTCCTCAAAGTGGGGTGCCTGGGCCAGCCACCCAGCATCACCTGAGAACTTGATAGAAATGTAAATTCCTGGCTGGGCGGGGTGGCTCATGCCTGTAATCTAAGCACTTTGGAGGCCAAGGCAGGTGGATCACCTGAGGTTGGGAGTTCAAGACCAGCCTGGCCAACATGGTGAAACCCCGTCTTAAAAAAAAAAAAAAAAAAAAAGTAAATTCCTGGGCTGCACCCTGGAACTGCTGGCTCATGAACTCTGGGGTGGGGCCTGGTGGCGCAAATTCTAAGCAGCAGCCTCCAGGTGGCTCTGAGGCTGCTCAGTTCAAGAACCACCGTCTCCGTGTTGGTTTTGTGGTCACAGTAGCCGTACCTACCTCTAATGGCATTGCAAGAGCACAGGAGATGATTTAATCTCTGGCTGGTCGGGGGGTGACATTTCCCTTCTGTCACACCCCACCCCCAAACCCCTACCTCACACCTTCTTCCTTCCACATTTTGGCAACACAGGTAATAAGTACAAGATGTTTCTGCATAAATGCCTCATCCCATTTCCAGGCAACTCAGATCTATTCTGGGGCCTAAGTGAAAAATAAGCCAACAGCCTTTTGACTCAATAACATGCCTGCTAGGAATTCACCCAGCATCTGCATCCTCAGTGGACACCTGATGTACGGATGGGGCCAGTCCTGAAGGGGCTGTTTGTAATTGCAAAGCAGACAAAGCATAGCAAAGCAGAAACTGGAAATCACGTATGTGCGTCTTGGCAGGGAACTGGTTAAATAAAGGATGGTGTGTTCGTGATGCCCTGGCCTGCCTGACCATGTGTCCCACACCTCCTGTGCCTCTGCGGCCAGCCTTGCTTGCTGGGACGCCCTTGGGGTCAGGAGGCCACAGCTGCCCGAACTGCGCCTTCTGCTGTGTGGAGACTCTGCCCCTCACGGCTCCTGCCAGCCTTGCCCATCACATCACATGGGATGCTTGTGATTGCTCTAAAAACACTGGGCTCTCATGCTGTCCTCTCGAGGTCCCTGCCTTGTGTCCAGTGGCATCGTGGTTGCTTCCTGCTGGGCTGCCCCTGCCCCAGACCTTGTGTGCCTGTTGTTTAAATCTCCTGGTGTTGCTGAGCACGGGTCTGGTGTGCAGAGGGAGGTGCCTGATGCGTAGGAGGAAGCTGATGGATGGTGAGTCCCTTCAGCAGCTGTGTTGTGTTCAGAGGTGGAAACAATGCTGGGCAACATCCCAGCACAGCTCTTGTTGACCCCACCCCACAGGCTCTTCCTCCATGTGGCTGTGACCCCCCCCAGGGGGGCCTGTACCTGCCTTGAGCCTCTGCAGCTTGGGATGTCTCAGCTCGAGGGCTGGGGTGATGCCGCATAGAATGGGTCCCCTGACCTCCTGGGTGCTCCCTGAGGCCCCAGCCGCCATTCTGCAGAGACTCCTGAGTCTGTGAAGCAGTGCCAGGGCCTCCACCCACCCCAGCTGACCTGCCAGTAAAGCTGACCTTCGGCCCGGGGGCTGCCTTGCCGGCACCATGTGGGGAGGAAGTGAGCAACCCCCGAGCTCTCAGGGAGGGCCTGGGAGTACACGAGGGGCTTGCTGTTTCAGGGCCACCAAGTTTTGGGGTGGTTCTGGTGTGGCCCGCATCACAGCAGGAGACAACCAACGCAGCTGCCCGGGAGCTCACACAGGTCAGGCCACAGGGAAAGGAGAGCAGTGTGCACCCCAGGCTTTGACGTCTGAATGCTCGTGTTCCTGAAAATTCACGTGGAACTCTTATCTCCCAGAGTCTAAGAGTACTCTGGTTGGCCTCTTGGTTCTAGGGACAAAGGACAGGTTTCACTCAGCCCAAGGACCTTTGGTTCCTTCTGTTAGGACAGTGGCTGTGAGATGACACCTGGCGACTTAGGGGCCTCAGCCCGGTGCCTCCGTCTCTGCATCTCTACGTTGGCTTTGCGGCATCGTGCTGTCTGGGTCATTGCTGAGTATCCCAGGTCCCCACTCAGCTGGCCTCATGTTTTCTCTTGTCCCCCAGACTGGAGTCCCAGTTCTTACGTTGTTGATGCCAGCTTGTCACCCTTGGCCGTCTCCATAGCATCTGGGCAGGTGCCCCCAGGAACTGGGCTGTGGTCTCAGGAGCCTCGGCCAAGGTCGGTGGTGCTGGTGCAGGAGGGCAGAGCCTCGGAGGCAGAGGGGCTGCTGATGTTTTCATTATTACTTTTTATATTTGATAAGTGTCAGTGAATTGATCACTACCTCTTTCCTCACTAGAGATGCTATAAAATGTCACTTAAGGCTGAGCACGGTGGCTCACGCCTGTAATCCCAGCACTTTGGGAGGCTGAGGCGGGCAGATCCCTTGAGGTCAGGGGTTTGAGACCAGCGTGGCCAACATGGTGAAACCCGTCTCTGCTAAAAATACAAAAATTAGCCTGGTGTGGTGGCTCATGCCTGTAATCCCAGCTACTCGGGAGGCGGAGACAGAGAATTGCTTGAACCTGGGAGGCGGGGGCTACAGTGAGCTGAGATTGTGCCACTGCACTCCAGCCTGGGTGGCAAGAGCAAGACTTCACCTTGGAAAAAAAAAAAAAGAGGTCACTTAAAACCTATGATGAAATCACCACACAATCTATATTATTTTAAAATCAGTAAAAATATTTTTAAACCAGACGGGGAGTAACAGCAGTTATGTTACGAAGATCTACACTTTGAGGTTAGAACCATGAGCAACACTCATTTGACCTCAGTGGTGTTGATAACATTTTAAAAACAAGAAGTCCAGCAACAAATCACGGAGGAAGGCATCAGGATTTTTCCCGGACAGGCTGGCGGCCAGCAGGAGGCTCAAGAGGCTCTTGTGGGAGAACGCTGAGCAGCCCGTCTAGGCAGAGGGAGACGGAGCTCTGCACAGTCTGAAATTTAAGTTCAGAAATCAGCCAGTGCCGTATTCCCCAGAGAGCAGCTGTAATTTCTTACAGTTCATTTTCATGGAGAAAGTTTTAATCTGTTTATCTAATGACACATTGTGATCAATAATCAAGCTCAGGTACTTAAAATTAGAAACCGTATCTGAGGGAACATTAGTTCCAGAAGATTTAGATGTTTTATATGCCACTCAGCATTTGATTCTTTGAGACAAAAGCGAAAAGCACCTCTGCGGTTTTCCCCGTTCTTCCAGGAGCCTGGGGCTTGGCTGTTAAGAGTGGAGCCTGACTCCACGGAGCTGGAGAAATAGGCTATGTCCGTGGGCCCTCAGCACGGGATTGTCATGTCCGCCGTGTCCGACCCTCGTCCCACACAGGGGCAGGGTTTGGTTGCCAGGATGCTCCTCAACCTTAACTTGCGGCTCTGCAGGTCAGTCCTCATGGACCCGTGAAACAACCCAATTTCTGCAGTTCATCCCGTTTTCCCAGGGCTGTGGTGGTGGTAGGATTTTAGGAATAGAGTTTGCTGTGACTTTATGTGTCCTCTGATTTCCTGAAAACTGACTGGGTGATTTCTCTTGCCCTCCAGTGCCAGCCTCCTAGGGCTGCTGTGGCGACAGCCACGGTGGGGTGGCTTCAAACAGGGATGTTCTCCCAGGCCAGAGCTCTGAAAGGGCATCCACAGGGTTGTTTCCCCTGGGGGCATGTGGCTGGTACCACCTCCAGAGTCCCTGTCCTCTGAGCACCCGCTGCCTCTGAGGTCACAGAAGAGGCCAAGGACACCTGGGCACATCCGTCCCTGGCCCCAGCACTCATGTGCAGGCAGCCGCCCTGTGCTGGTTCCTGTCCCTTCCTCCCACCCTCTCGCCTCCCCGCTTCCCCAGCCCCTTTGCATTCAGCCCAAGGCCCTCAGTGGACTGAGGAGCCTCGGGGACCTGGGACTGTAGTGTCCTCTCACGGCCCTCAGTGGGCTGAGGAGCCTCGGGGACCTGGGACTGTAGTGTCCTTCACGGCCCTCAGTGGGCTGAGGAGCCTCGGGGACCTGGGACTGTAGTGTCCTCTCACGGCCCTCAGTGGGCTGAGGAGCCTCGGGGACCTGAGACTCTAGAGTGTCCTCTCATGGCCTAGATCCCTGTGGGACCGGCTGCACATCAGGCCATTTCCTTGGGGCTGGTTTTGGGGACCAGGCAGCACCCATGGGCTCTGAAAAGGCATTCATAGGGTTGTGCTTCCCCTGGGGGCATGTGGCTGGTGCCACCTCCAGAATCCCCGTGCTCTGAGCACCTGCTGCCTCTGAGGTCATAGAAGAGGCCAAGGACACCTGGGCGCGTCCGTCCCTGGCCCTAGCACTCATGTGCAGGCTCTACGTGGTCACATATCATCACATCAGTGGTGTGTGCTGAGGCCCCAAGATGCAAGGACACAGTTCTGGGCACCACAGGGAGGGCCTGATCTGTTGGGGGAGACAAGATGGCCACAAGTCCTTGGCCCAGGAAGAGCAGCTTCTGAGCAGGGGCCTGGCTCTCAGCTTTCTCTGCTGGGGCACCTGGAGCCTGATGAGCCGTCAGTGCTGTCGGGCACACACGTAGGCGGGGTGGGGGTCCTGCCCAGCAAACGGGCTCAAGGTATACTCCTGTGGCTCGTTCGTGGGTCCTGAGACCACAGCGGATTTCAGATGCAGTGAGGGCCATTCGGCCTGGCAACAGCCCCAGATCCAGATCCATCTGAATGGTGCGGAACATTAGGTGTGGGTCTCAGGAGGCTCTGAGGCCCCATGGGGCACTGACTCCTAACGCAGGACAGAGACAATGACCCCCAGAGCAATGCTGAGGCTGTATGAAAAAGAACTGCAACCCCATCAGGATGGGGTGATCTACCTTCCAGGGAGGCCCTCGGCCCTTAGGAGTGGGGACAGCCACACCGTCACCATCACCCACCGCAACACCCACACCCATGCCCACACAGATGCACACACCCACATCCATGCTGTCACCCAGTGTCACACCCACCCACAGCTTATGACCCATTTTAAGCCCCTGTAAAAACTTCAAGGTTTCTATAACATACTTTCATATTTTGCCGTAAAATGATCTTACCACCGACATTGTGAAATGAAATCTATTATTATTCATGGAGTTCTGTACCCAGAGAATGCCTGCTGTTACCTAGGAATATTATTATGGGGTATTATTGATCTGAAAGGTGATACCTATGCATTACTTTTGATCTGTAGGTGGGAAGTAATGTCACTGTGTTGTTTAGATCTTTTGATACAAAAGATCTTTTTTCATTGATATCAAAGGGAAATTGCAAAAAGAATTACCAATTTGTCTAATGGATGCGCTTTCTGTGCCTTAATTATATATACAATTCTATCCATTTAGTCCCATTTTATTACATGAAAGCCATACAAAGTCAGGGATCAAAAGCCAGCCAGAAATTTCTCTTATGGCTGCCCAAACAGAACTGCGCCTCTTCACAGAGAAATTTCGAAACAAGGAAGCTGACATGACCGCGGGTTCCCGGCCACGTGCGGGATGAGACTCGTGCTCTCTAGGAGAGAAAATCCGCAGGTTTCACTGGTTTTAGCACATCCCTAAAATTTATGAGCAGCATGGATACCTTCGTAGCCCTGGCTGAAGTTAGTGGGAGGGCAGAAGGCGCGTGCTTCAGCTCTGTGAAGTCATCGCGTGGCACATCAGAAGGCCGCAGTCCTCTGACATTCCCGTTCCCACGGTGTCATCAATCACGCCGCAGTGATTCCTTGTTCACATCGTGGCCGTTCTAACAAAGTGGGTTTCCTTCATTCACAAGCGCGGTGAGCAGCTCCTGGAAGCTGACCACGTACAGCTCTTTGTACCTTGTGGGGGTGTAAAGACGTCTGGCATGTGGGGCTCAGGTGGATGGAAAGGCAGGGACAGTCGGAGGCAGCCCCTTCCTGTGCTGGGGCTCCCCATGGTGTAGACGTCTCCTCAGGTTGGGTCTCGAGCCGTCACAGCCAAGTGAGCCAGTGCTTCAGGGTTGCTGCAGCCAGCACCAGGGCAACTCAGAGGCTGCACTTGCCAGCCTGGGCCAATGAGGCTCCATCACACTCCCTACCAGCCCACCTAGGTGTAGCCAACGTGCTGTGAGGGGTTCAAAGCCCTTGTCCCCTCCTGCTGTGGCTCAGCCTCCAGTCGCTCCTTTCTCCCTCCCTCTCTCCTATCTCTTTTATTAGCTATGAATCACCTAATCTATCTATAATCTATCATCTACCTTCTATCATCTACCACTCATCTGATCTATCCATAATCTATCATCTATTTCATCTATCATTTATGATCTGTATCATCTATCTAGCTAACCTATCGTCTGTCATCTATTTATCCACATCTACCATCTATCTCCCTGTCATCTGTCATCTCTACCCACTATCATCTATCGATCTATCTATGCCTGCCACACGCCCACACCCACTGTGCCAAACACTGAATGAATGAGGTGGAATGAGATAGGGTCCCTGCCTGCCAGAAGCTCAGAGTTGGGTGGGAAGGATGGATCCTGAGGATGAGGGCCCCCTTGTTGAGACAGTGGACTCACAGCAGCCTCAAATATGTTATTTCTGGACGAGACACTGGTATGCTGCTAACAATCAGCTCTCAAAAAAAAAAAAAAAAAAAAAAAAAAAAAAACAGAAACCAGCACATGTGTGTAGCTTCCCAATTTCCATGGTGTAAGCACCATCACTAATGCCAATTTCAAGGCCCCAGTGTGAGGTTACTTAGCCATCGTGGGTGGTGATGAACCACCACACATATATGACAGATGTAAATAATTTCAAGAGCAGCGATAACAGCAAAATAATTTAAAGAGGTGAGTTTTGACTACCATACGTTTGTTCTAATATGACATTTAGTTCTAAGTTGATGTAATTTAGTTTTTAACAATGACAACCTACTTTTTAAAAAATATATTTTATTGCTTTTTACGTTTTGGGGTACATGTGAAGAACATGCAAGATTGTTGCATAGGTACATATATGGCAATGTGGTTTGCTGCCTTCCTCCCCATTACCTATATCTGACATGTCTCCCCGTTATCCCTCCGCAACTCCCCACCCCCCGCTGTCCCTCCTCTGGTTCTCCCCCACAGACCCCAGTGGATGATGCTCCCCTTTGTGTTCATGTGTTCTCATTGTTCAACACCCGCCTATGAGTGAGAACGTGGTGTTTTTCTGTTCTTGTGTCAGCTTGCTGAGAATGATGGTTTCCAGGTTCATCCATGTCCCTGCAAAGGACACAAACTCATTGTTTTTGATGGCTGCATAGTATTCCATGGTGTATATGTACCACATTTTCCCTGTCCAGTCTATCATTGATGGGCATTTGTGTTGGTTCCAGGTCTTTGCTATTGTAAACTGTGCTGCAGTGAACATTCGTGTGCATGTGTCCTTATAATAGAACAATTTATAATCCTTTGGATATATACTCTCTAATGGGATTGCTGGGTCAAATAGAATTTCTATTTCTAGGTCCTTAAGGAATCGCCACACTGTCTTCCACAATAGTTGAACTAATTTACACTCCCACCAACAGTACAAAAGTGTTCCTATTTCTCCACATCTTCTCCAGCATCTGTTGTCTCCAGATTTTTAAATTATTGCCATTCTAACTGGTGTGAGAGGGTATCTCAATGTAGTTTTGATTTGCATTTCTCTAATGACCAGTGATGACGAGGATTTTTTCGTATGTTTCTTGGCCTCAGATATGTCTTCTTTTGTAAAGTGTCTGTTCATATCCTTCGCCAACTTTTGAGTGGGCTTTTTTCTTGTAAGTCTGTTTTAGTTCTTTGTAAATTCTGGATATTAGCTCTTGGTCACATGGGTAGACTGCAAACATTTTTTCCCATTCTGTTGGTTGCCGAGTCACTCTAATGACTGTTTCTTTTGCTGTGCAGAAGTTCTGGAGTTTGATTGGGTCCCATTTGTCTATCTTGGCTTTTGTTGCCAATGCTTTTGGTGTTTTGGTCATGGAGTCCTTGGCTATGCCTATGTCCTGAATGGTTTTGCCTAGATTTTTTTCTAGGATTTTTATGGTGTTGGGTCTTATGTTTAAGTCTTTAATCCATCTGGAGTTAATTTTAGTGTAAGGTGTCAGGAAGGGGTCCAGTTTCTGCTTTCTGCACATGGCTGGCCAGCTTTCCCAACACCTTTCCCCATTGCTTGTTTTTGTCAGGTTTGTCAAGGATCAGATGGTTGTAGATGTATCGTGTTGCCTCCGAGGCCTCTGTTCTGTTCCACTGGTCCGTATCTCTGTTTTGGTACCAGTACCATGCTGTTATGATTACTGTAGCATTGTAGTATAGTTTGAAGTCAGGTAGTGTGATCCCTCCAGCTTTGTTCTTTTTGCTTAGAATTAATTTGGCTGTGCGGGATCCCTTTTGGTTCCATATGAAGTTTAAGGTGGTTTTTTCCAGTTCTGTGAAAAAGGTCATTGGTGGCTTGATGGGGATAGCAGCGAATCTGCAAATTACCTTGGGTAGTACGGCCATTTTCACGACATTGATTCTTCTAACCATGAGCATGCAATATT